AAATAAATAAAATTTCTTTAAAGTATACAGAGAATTAGGGTTTCCATTCATTCATTGTTGCACTTTTCTCCCTGTCCACCACCTCCCCCCAATTTGCTCTTCTCTTTGAAAAGTGAAAAAAAACTTTTTTTTCATTGTTATACAATCCCTCCCCACCAAGTCCACTCCACTGTGCAGTCTTCATTCTGGACTCCTGTCATGACAATAATATCTAATCATACATCCCTTTTTAATAGTTCTCTCCCTCATCTGTTTCAATGCAGAATACATTCTTTATCTTGGTCTCCTCTCAACCCCGATGTCAGTACCGTTTTACAACAGTGATCCTATGCTTATCTCTCTAGTAAATCTTATTTGACAAACAGCTCAAGTAATTAATGTCACATGTATTAAGCAGATTCTTTAGCATTTGTATAGTTCAATCTAAGAGGTTCATAGGCCAACTGTACTTTTCCAAAACTGTGCCATCTTTATCTCTGATACACTTAAGCCTATGGCTGCAATGACTCTCGTCAGTATTTCTTGTCAAGATTCCTCCTCTCTTTTGCTGACCTTCCACTTTTACCAGCAGTATGTCCAAAGTATGAGTAGACTCTGGCTACACTTTCTCCAAGACATACCTATTTGTTCATTTGGCAGTGCATGGAATATTCAGCACTCTTCTCTAATATCACATCTTTTCCCCCCCTCATTAAACTTGTTTTAATGGGTCTCAAAATTCCGTGACAAATTTTTGGTCGTTTCCATTTAAAAAGTTGTTGTTGTTGTGTAGTAACTTAAAACTGCCACACGAAAAAGAAAACAAATGGTCCACAAAACATTCCTTTCCTTCTGAAGGTTTTATGATGCATTGTTATCATTAACCAGTCTTTTACTATAAAACTTAAATGGCCAATTGAGACAAACAGTTCTGAGACCGTTCTTCCACCACTGATTAAGACTGGGGTGGCAGGTGTTAAGGGTAATATTCATTTAGCCTTCTGAGCTTTCTGAGCAGACTTGGTGACCTTGCCAGCTCCAGCAGCCTTTTTGTCCACTTTGATGACACCCATAGCAACAGTCTGCCTCATGTCTCAGACAGCAAAACAACCCAAAGGAGGGTAGTCAGAGAAGCTCTCCACACACATGGACTTGCCAGGAACCATATCCACAATGGCAGCATCACCAGACTTCAGGAATTTGGAGCCATCTTCCAGCTTACCAGAACGGCAATCAATCTTCTGAGCTCAGCAAACTTGCAAGCAATGTGAGCTGTGTTACAATCCAGCACAGGTGCATAACCAGCACTGATTTGGCCAGGATGTTTTAAGATGATCACCTGAGCAATGAAGCCAGCTGCTTCTATGGGTGGGTCATTTTTGCTGTCAACAGCCATGTTGCCACGTCGAAGATCTTTCACAGAGACGTTCTTAACGTTGAAGCCAACACTGTCACCAGGCAGAGCTTCACTCAAAAGCTTCATGGTGCTTTTCAACAGACTTTACTTCAGTGGTAAAGTTGACTGGGGCAAATGTGACCAACATGCCAGGTTTGAGAACACCGGTCTCCACTCTGCCCACAGGGACAGTACCAATACCACCAATCTTTTAGACATCCTGGAGAGGCAGACGCAAGGGCTTATCAGTTGGACGAGTTGGTGGCAGGATGCAATCCAAAGCTTCAAGTTGTGTAGTCCCACTGGCACTGCCATCTTTCCGGGTGACTTTCCATCCCTTGTTTCTACAGCATTTATTAGCACTTGGCTCCAGCATGTTGTCACCATTCCAACCAGAAATTGGCCCAAAGGCTACTGTGTCAGGGTTGTAGCCAATTATCTTGATGTAGGTGCTTACTTCCTTAACGATTTCCTCATCTCTTCTGGCTGTAGAGTGGCTCGGTGGAATCCATTTTGTTAACACCAACAATCAGTTGCTTCACACCCAGTGTGTTAGCCAGAAGGGCATGCTCACGGGGTCTGCCCGTTCTTTCAAATACCAGCCTCAAATTCACCAACACCAGCAGCAACAATTAGGACAGCACAATCAGCCTGTGATGTTCCTATAATCATGTTTTTGATAGTCTCTGTGTCCTGGGCATAAATGATCACACAGTACTTGCTGGTCTCAAATTTCCACAGGGAGATATTAATGGTGATGCCATGCTCACGTTCAGCTTTCAGTTTATCCAAGACCCAGGCATATTTGAAGGAGCCCTTTCCATCTCCCCAGCTTCCTTCTCAAATTTCTCAATGGTTCTCTTGTCGATCCCACATTTGTAGATCAGATGGCCAGTCGTGGTGGACTTGCCCGAATCTACATGTCCAATGGCAATGATGTTGATATGGGTCTTCTCCTTTCCCATTTTAGCCTAGGTTTTGCGATGGTATTCACCAACACCTGTACTCTGGTGACAAACCCGTTGCGAAAAAGCTAATATCACATCTTAAAGCATCAAGTCTTTGGTCATCCTTATTTACTGTCCAGCTCACTGGTTCTCAAACTGACATCATTGCTCTTTTGGGGTGATTTTGGAGAGGTCCCTGACAGCAAACTTGAAGAATAGATTACATCTCCTGGTCTCATGACTGCTGGTACCAAGGGTGTGGACTGTTGATCCAAGTAAGATGAAATCACAGGCTCTTGTGGTAGAATTATCATACATGTCTTAAGATTGTTTAGCTCTTCTTGAGTTTAAAAGAAACTATCTTGCTTTATGATCCCTTTAGGTGGCACAGTGGTTAGGGACTTACCTATTAGCAAAAGGTTTGAAAGCCACCAGCCACTCCATTAAAGATATTTCATTCTGTTTCCATAGATTGCGGCCCTGGAAACTATGGGGTAGTCCTAAGATTAGAACCGTTAGATTGCGAAGAGTAAAACAATAGGTTTGGTTTTTTTGCATACTGTCAATTACTATTACAACTGAATTTAAACTTTATACATTGAAACACAGGAAGTGCTGAAGTACCTTCTCACCTCCTCTTCCCTGCTTAGTTCGCCACACATTATCAGATTTCTCTTTCTTGAAAGTCTAATCATTGACACTCACTTGCTTAAAATTCTTGAGACTTTTCTCACTGTTGTAAAAAACCAGCCAAATCCTTACATTCTGTGAGTCACCTAGTTACCCCACGCCTCTGCCTTCTCTCCAACTCTTCTCCTAAGTTTACCAAACTTCTAGCAACTTATTTACCCTTTAATGATCCTCTTCCTGACTCCCTTTTGTACACACTTCTCATCTTCACAGTATTTTGACAGTTTATCAGTATTTGTTAATCATCTGTTGAATGTGTGCCCTCACTTTAGATTTTAAATTCATTTGTTTGGGCTCTCACTTATCTCTAATGCCTACTAGATTGCCACAGACACTACAATATTTGCTAAAAGAAACCTTAGTCCTTACCCCTCCTTAAATACCAAACCATAAATACAATGGTAAAATGTTTACATCTACTCTGTGACTACCTAGCCTTTCCTCTTCCTACCAATTTTACTCTCAAACATAATAGTGGTCTGGTTGATGCCTTTGGATTTTGGAACCCATTTGTTTAGACTAGAAGAAAATGTAAACTTTGATATTCTCTTCTACCACTGTGTATGAATTAAATGATGAATGTGCTGATGCTAAGTAAGAATTACCTCATCCATACGTCCTTTAGAAGTGATAGGCACACAGGTATTAAAGAAAATGCTTGTTTCTACAGCATTTATTACTATTTTTTTTTTAAAAAAAAGCATTAAAAAAAAAGTCAGTCTCAGTTCTCCAATGGCTCTCATCCCTACCTCTTGCCCACATAACTCCTGACCTATTTTCTCAAGGCAGTTCAAAACTGCATCTGTTCACTGCCGTTTTCACAGAAAACAACCAGTGTCAGGGACATAGGGAAAGAAGGTTAGAAGAGGTCAACAGTATTGTCCATGTTCCACCTGAAGATAGGCGAGGTGGAGATTCACAGAATTCAAACGAAAGGGCTGGTGGCCTCACAATGACATAGTCTAACTAAAACGGACTGGAGAAAAGACAGGGCAGGCCAATCAGATCCAGCACTGGGAGAAGAATGGGAAGGACTAAGTAAGGAGGGAGGGAGGCAGTCTCTTGGCAAGTGTCACAGTTCTCCCATGTTGGGAGGTGGGGAAAATCTAGAGGCCACCAAGAGCCTCACTCATTCTAGCAGAAAATGTACTGTAAGTGTGGGGAAGCCACAAACATTGAGAAAGGCTACAAGGAAGTGCACAGTTTCACAAAGCACAGTGATCACAGACCAGAGCAATGGGAATCATGCTACCAACTCCAAAACTACAAAACTCAAGTAGAGAGAGTGGTCCTTCAGAGATTAACTGCACCAGCCACTCATCCTGACCCCAGGCTAGGCAACTTGGCAAGTTTCACAGAGCAGCTGACAACTGGGTACAGAAGGTATCACATAAAAAAAACCTAAAACAAGCAGCTAGAGGGAATGGTAAGAGACTGCTTGAAGGCTCTCAGGAATTGAGGGTGATTCTGGATAGAGGTGTACAGATGCACAAAAACAGCACCGACAAGATTTCCTGTTCAGCAGTCATTTGGCAAGGAGAAAGAGGATCCAGGAGGCAGCTAAAGGGAGCAGAGATGGGTCCCGAAGACAAGTCCCTCATGGCCGGATAAGAATGCACATGTACACCTGTGATGAAACACAATGCTGGGCCCCAAACAGGGAGGTGGTGAATGATGGGCAATGTCACTGACAAAGGGAGATGGGTGAGAGCCTCACAGTAGCAATCATAGGGCCACAGAGAAATGATGGCCACTAGGTCACAGAGGGCTGATTCCAGCCAGGATAAGAAGGCACAGTTTCACAGAGGAGGTCCGTTGATGCCTGGGTGGTAGAAGGCACAGAAGTCTTCATATCGACAGTGTCCCTTTTTGGCAAAGTGTCTGCAGACAGGGCGGTCGGATTTGTCTGTGAATGAATCAAAATTGGGCAGTTTAAAATCTGTAGCAAAGAAACAAGTGTTTAAAAATGTAGAGAGAATTAAAAAAAAAGTAGAGACCAAGAAGGAGGTCACATTTCCTGCTCTTTACTGTTTCCAGATAATATGGTAGTGTTTATGCTGGGAGATGAAACATTACGGAACACTTCCACTTCAGAAGAAAAAAACCCCCAACCCAAACTGTTTAAAGGGGAGGAATCACTGGCATTCTAGGAAGTGTGCCAGTCTGTGAATAATGGATAAAGGTGTACAGGTTAAAAAAAATAATATGGAACTCACCTTCCAAAACCTGGGGTCCATCCTTTGGTGGGCAAGTATTCTTGATGAGGGACCAGCTTTTAAGCCTTCGAGGGTTTCTTGGTTCTTTGTGAAAGCCTCCCCTGGGAGGACTTCCATGACCTGGTCCCAGAAAAGGAGGTTCAGCATTGACTCCCCACCAACCACGACCATATGGCCCAAATCTAGGACCTAGGCCTCCCCGAATTGGGCCTCTACCCCGGGGAGGAGGTGGGAGACTCAGCAGTGGTGGAATCAGTGGTCCCCTTGATCCTGGAGGACCTCTGTTAAGTGCTGCAGAGACAGAGAAGACACAGCAAGACGCAGTTGTTGTTAGGTGCCACTGAGTTGAGTACGACTCACAGCAATCCTATAAACAACATATGTGAACCATGTCCTATCCTGTGCCATCCTTATCATCTCTGACACACTTGAGCCCACTGCTGCAGTCACTGTGACAGTCTATATCATTGGTGGTTTTTTTCTCTTTCATTGATCCTCCATCTTTCCAAGCACGACCAGAGCGATGGGAATGATGTCCTCTTCCGAAGAATAATCTAGTCTCTCCTAAAATCATGTCCAAGTGGGAGAGATGAAGCTTCACCAACTTTGCCTCCAAGAAGCACTGTAGCTGCACTTTCTCCAAGATATATCTGTTTGTCCTTTAGGCAGTCCATAGGATATTCAGCACTTTTCTCCAACACCACAGCTCAAAGGCATCATAAACAATGGTCAATTTTAATCTTGATACAGAAATCCTTATTTTTACTTATTGAAACACAATATACTTATAGGAAGACACAATTTTAAGTGCATAAATTAATTACCACCAAGTAAACATATCTGTTACCACCACCACCTAGCTGAAAGAATCTCAATATTTCAGAAGTCCTCTCTTGTACCCCGGCCCCCTATTCCTTTTTTTCTCCCAAAGGTGACCCCTTCTCTGACTTCTAACACCAGAGGTACGTTTTCACCTACTTTTACGCTTCACATAAACAGAATCACAATCTGTATTCTCTTGTGTCTGGCTTCTTTTGCTCAACATAATGTTTATGAGAGTCATTCAGGTTGGTTGCCTGTAGCAGTTGTTCCATTTTCATTGCAGTGTAGAACTTCACTGCATGCATATACTATCACTTACTTTTCAAATGATGGACATGTGTGCTTGCATTTATGTTGAGTATTTATTCACAAGTTTATTGGTCAAGCAGGTGCCTGTTTTATGAGCTGTCTTTTGACCATTTCTCTAACAGACTAGAAGAGCTCTTCAGGTTAATGTGAATTCAGTAATGGTTATATGTGTTGCACACATTTTTTTGCTTTCTTTTGAATTTCTGTTTTTGTGTTAGTTGTCTTCAAGTCAACTTCAACTTATGGCAAACCCATGTGTGCAGAGTAGAACTGTTTCATAGTGCTTTCAAGGTTTGGAAGCAGACTGCTAGGGTTATCTTCAGAGAACACATAGATCAGAACAATCAACCTTTTGACTAGTAATCAAAGCACCAAGCCAGTTCTACCATTGTGTGAATTATGAATATTTTTATTTAATAAATGAAAACTTGTATTTAGAAATTTGTATGTTTTTAAACTGAAGTTCAATCTATTACCCTCTCCTCCACATTTAATGTATATGGGTTCCTTGATGGTTAAGAATTATTCTCTCTGTAACTGGGTATTTCTGTCATCACAGGAGACTAGAGCGAGGGCTGCATGGTGGAGGGGACCTGGGGGAGGGTTTGTAAAACAATGAAAGAATCTTTTCTTTTACTTTTCCATAATTTTTGGACTCATGTACTTATAACTTGTTAGTCAAATTTGTGTCTTCTAGGTTGCAACACCCCCATGATACATCTTGAAGGATATGTACATGTACAGCCAAGCACAATCAATAAGAGTGCATCTGAATTCCAAAATCAATCTCCATAATAGTCTATGTGTTTCCTACTGCCAAAGGGGCCCTTTAGAGTAGTGAGAGAAGATCTTCACCCTGAAACCCACAGCGTCCCTTTTCAGCAGGAAGTAGCTAAGAGAATACGCCATCCCCTTTTCCTTATGACTCAGGGTGAAGTCTCTCTCAGGGAGGAGTGATAGGGAATGGCAAAGGATACACTGACAAAGAAGATTAATCAGAACTGGCTTTGACAAGCATTGTGGCATTTGGACAAGAACAAACTGGGAGGAGGGTAGAGAGAATAGTGCAACAATGAATGAGTGGAAGCCCAAAATCTCTGTAAATGTTTATGAAAATTAATAAAATATAATTATAGAGAAAAAAAAAAAAAGAATTATTCTCTCTCCCCTGACCCACCAGGTGAGGTCCTTAGCTGGACTGTCACAACAGGAGGGTCAAGGGGCTTCCTCCTCTTTTCCTCCCCTAACTGACTGTCTTACTAAGTTGACCTTCAGTCCAACGGTCCCCCCACCAGATCTGGTCTCAGATAAATGTGAATGGAGACAGGTACACCAACCTGTCCTCATCCCTGATTCCCCCGCCCAAGTCTCAAGACAGTGCTAACTCAGAAAGTCTTCCCCCTCACCTATACCACTCACCCCACCCCCACTCGCCCATGATAAGAAATCAGGATCACAAAGCAGCTAGGAAAAGAGAGATGAGTTTTCTGGGTTCTACCTTGTTTGTGGTTTAGCTTTGTGTTTAAAAGAAAGAAAATAAACTGAAAAATTATTTGTCATCCTAAAAGAAACAAAAAAATATTTATTGTAAAAAAACTAATCTCTAGAATTCTTTTACTTATCATAATTATCAACCAACAGTCCAAGTTACAGTTGGAATTCATTCTTTTTATATGGTATGATTAAGAAGCTCAGTCTCTCCCCTTCCTACATGAATACACAATTGACTGAACATCATTTATGGAAAAGATCACCTTCATTATAAGTAAATATATGTATGGGCTTACTTTTAAATTCTCTACGCTATTTTAGGGAGCTCTGGTGGCCTAGAGGCAAGAAGCTGCACTGCGATCACAAATGCACATTGTTTGAGGCCATCAGCTGATCCGTGGGAGAATGGGTAATCTCCTCCTGATAAACTGCCTTTGAAAACCTGCTGGAGGTCTGCTATGGGTCAGTTCCAACTCTATGATACACAACAACAACTACATGCTATTTTATTGACTTACATTTCTATCATTATGCTAATATCATACCATGATAATTACTAAGACTTTACAATAAGTTTCGATATTCAGAGTTGTTGTTTCGTACTGTCGAGTCACTTGTGACTTATAGCGACTCTACATACAACAGCCATATACCCTGCTCTGTCTGATGTCAATCTTATTGTCTTTCATACACCTACCCTCATTACTCCAGTGACTTAGATCAATCCATCTCATCAAGGGTCTTCCTCTCTTGTGCTGTCCCTCCACCCTTCAAAGCATGAAGTCCCTCTCCAAGGACTGGTCTCTTTGCAACATGTCCAAAGTATGTCAGACGAAGCTTCAGAATCTTTTCTCCAGTGAGCAGCCTGGTTTCATCTTCTCCAGGACAAACCTGTTTGTTCTCCTAGCCGTCATCCATTGTATATTCAACACTCTTCTTCAACAACACAGCTCACAGGCATCAATTATCTATCATCCCTAGTCATTGTGCAGCTTTCTGATGCATAGCAAGTAACTGAAAAGACTATAGTCTGAATCGGGCGCACTTTAGTCCCGAGACTGACATTGTTGCTCTTCAGTACTTTGGAGAGGTCTCTGAAGCAGACTTTCCCAATGCAATTCATCTTTTAATTTCCTGGCTGTTGGTACCAAGGGTGCTGATTGTGGAGCCAAGCAAACTGAAGCTGTTAACAATCTCAATCTCTTCATCATCTGTCGTGATGCTGCCAATTTCTTCATGTTGAGCTTCAATCCATATTTAAGGCTGTAGTCCTTGAGCAAGAGCTTCAGGTCCTCCTCAGTTTCAGCAAGCTACTCAGAGTAAGCTATCTATTTTATCCTTCAAGATTGTCTTGGCAGTCTCACACTCTGACAGAGAGTATTTCATGTAATGTTTATTTCCACAAGAAAATGATAGGAATTCTGACTGGGAATGCACTGATACTATATATCAAGTAGAGGAGAACTGATATTTTTACAACACTGAGTTTCCAATCTATGAATAAATAATATCTCTCCATTTATTTAGGTGCAGAAGGGCTGATCATGTGACTACACTGCTCCTGGGCTTTACTTCCTCCCATGCTACCTTATCCAGGACTTCAGCCCAAGATCAAAACCCCTTCGACCTTACCTGACTTGGGATCTCCAGGTTTTCCATTGGCCATGGGGGGAGAGCCCAAAAGGCTGGGGGGTCCTGAGAGGAGACATGAAAATACTGTCATCTGAATGGATTACAGAATGGATAATTCTGTTCGTGCACTTTTTGTCTATCACATATTTCTTAGTTCAACTAGTAAAGTCACAAATAAATGTAGCAGTGTCCCTATTTCTCAGCAATCTGCCCTTACTCTGCAAAGCTGTGCCATAGTATGAAAAAAGTATATGCTCAGTCCTGGACAGAAGAATGTGGGAAGCATAATGACAACTTTTCCTTTCCCTTGTAGTGCTGACAGCCAACATACCCCAAGTGATTCTCCTCCTCCCTTTCCCCTAGACAGAGAGATAAGGGCATATTTCCACCTTCCTTGTGAAATCGGGTCACAAATCAACATCTCGGTCACCGCAATCTGCGACCTGTCTTCGGCCCCTCTTCCCTGCCGTTCTGCGGCTGCGCGCACGAGCTCTTTATCCTCTCCTGCCTGCCTCCTCTAGAAAGATTTGGGGGTCGGATTAAAGTTGAGGTTCAAGGAAGAGAACTCCTGGTTCAGGGCTTCATCCCAGATAGACACCCTCTCCCAGTGCATATACCCTTTCCTTCTTCCATATTAGAGGGTCCCCTCTGCACTTCATCATCCCCTCAGACGGGTTGACAGGAATGTCAGAGAATCCTCACCAATGGGACTTCCGTCATCCTCATCTCCATCCTCATCCCGCTTGGGGCGTGGGAGTTGCTGCGGGGGAGACTCTTGCTGCTGATTCGGCTTCTTTCGTTTCGGCATCGTCTCTGCAGCAATGGCTACAGCGGGATTTGGAGGGCAGTGAGGAAGGGGCCGGTTGGGCTTCTGTTTCCGCTTCCGGGGGTCGATGGGCAGAGATGCTGAGACTCCCGCCATTTCACTTCCGGAAGGCTGCAGTCAGCCTTTTTTTTTGCTGTAGCGTATTTCTTGCGTCTTTGCATGGAAGCGATGCAAATTCTTCTCTTTGTCTCGTTTCTAGAAAGTCTTACATTATAAGAAAACACCACAAACGATTCCTCATAAAGTGCCGCAGAGTCCCGAGGGTCAGAAGGCCTGAGATACGAGAACTGTCGCATACTAAGAACGCCACATCCGTTGGCGGTTACTATGGTTACGGCTGTAGCCACAACTTCGTGCCCTCTGATCTCTTTCCAACAGTCCTTTCTCATCTAGGTTTTCCTCTTTGTTCGCTATTATACCTATGATCTTGCTCCTTATCAGCATTTTCACAAGGAATTTGTGTCCCAGCTGAGCAGCGCCTACGATTCTTCTGCTCGTCACACGCCCCGCAGGAGCTTTGCCCGTATCCCTAGTTGTATCGCAACAACTTGGTTTTATTCTTCGTATGACGCGTTGACTCGGCTCTTCGCTAAAGTCGATCTCAGAATCCAGAAAGTAGCAACTGTGCCCACGGCCCCTTCTCCCCTTGGCGGTAGGACCCGCCCTCCGCTCCGCCTCCCCCGCCAGGTGAGTGGTAGCTTCTCCCTGGCGCACAAGGTAGTGATGACACACGTCACCCCTCCTCTGAAAGTGAATTGGTAGAGTCCGTGACGGAGTTAGCTCGCTCCTCCCACGCTCGCCTTTTTCTTTGCTGCCACTGCTCCATCTCAGTACGACTGACTTTCACGTGCGTATAGGACACTTGGCATCTCTCTCTCGCCTCGCTTGGAGGCAAGTGACTGTATTTCCCCATCCGCCTTCCATCCAGGCCGCCTCTGCCAGATGCTCGGCCCGCTCGCTGACGTCATCCCCTAGTCCCGCCCCCTCTAGGGTCCCGGGCCCTAGCGGGGGGGGGCTACCCGGGGGGGGGGGGAGTCAGTTGAGGCGGCGGGAGCTCGGTGGAGGGCGGGCCAGGCGTCTGGTCCAGGCCATGCCGAGGAAGAAGCCTTTCAGCGTGAAGCAGAAGAAGAAGCAGTTGCAGGACAAGCGGGAGCGGAAGCGAGGTCAGTGGGAGCAGGAGGAGGGGGCGGGGCTCGGGCTCTAGCACATCTGGAGGGAGAGGTGTGCCCGCCGCACCTCTGGGGAGAGTGGGGGGGGGGGAAAGGATCGACTCGCGGAAATGCGTGGAGGAGATTGCCATTTTTCCTACCTTAGTCTCCTCTGCCTCGGAACAGGGCTGGGGAAGGATACAGAGTTGGGGGAGGGGAGTCCCTCCCGCTTGAGTGGGGCGCCTTCCTCGCAGCTCCCTAGAGGAGGGGTGAATTCCCCCCACGCACATCCGGGAGGGTCCTGGACACAGCGGCTGGGAGGACCAGGCCCTGAAAGAAGTGGGGTGGGGTGCGGAGGAGCCAGGCCGCCTTGGGAGGGGGTCCTCGGGGCTCCGGAGTACCGGCCAGCACCGGCGTCACCAGCACCTCCCCGCAGGGCTTCAGGATGGGCTGCGCTCCAGTTCCAACAGCCGCAGCGGGAGCAGAGAGCGACGGGAGGAGCAGACCGATACCTCGGACGGAGAGTCTGTGACCCATCACATCCGCAGGCTCAACCAACAGCCCTCTCAGGGGCTGGGCTCTCGAGGTTATGACCCAAATCGGTAAGAATGGGCGGAAAGTGCTGGCGGGAGTAGAGGGGTGGATTTCCTGCCTACCTTGAAGTCCCAACCCGGGGTGGGGAAAGGGGGGAGGAGGGCTGCTCCTGCTGGAGGAGGTTTGTTCTTCGGTTTATATATGTAGTCTTCCCTATTAGAAGGGGCCGTGAGAGTTTGGCTTTAGAGGGGCACCACTTAGGGGAAAGACTGAGTATTCTTGAAAGAGAGACTTGGAGGAAGGCGACTGCCAGAAGAGATTTGAGCTACTCTAGAGGAAAAGCTTTGCAATGTTGCTTCCCTAAGAGGAGAAAAGCAAGAGTGTGACCATAGTTTTGTGTTAAATGTCTGATCTCTGTCTCCTTAGATACCGGCTGCATTTTGAGCGAGACAGCAGGGAAGAAGTGGAAAGGAGAAAGAGAGCTGCCCGAGAGCAAGTGCTCCAACCTGTCAGTGCTGAGTTGCTGGAACTGGACATCAAGGAGGTCTATCAGCCTGGCTCTGGTGAGTAAGGAAGAGGTCAAGACTCTGGGATATTTGGGGGGATGGGAAATGGGCTAGTGGAGGGAGTTTTAAAGGGTCAGAACTGAGGAAGGAGGAATCTGGTAGTCCTGAAATTATTGTTATGCTTACTTGAACTTTTTCCCTGGTTTCTTAGTCCTAGACTTTCCCCGACGCCCTCCTTGGAGTTATGAGATGTCCAAGGAGCAGCTGATGAGTCAGGAGGAACGAAGTTTCCAGGAGTATCTTAGCAAGATTCATGGGGCTTATACCTCTGAGAAACTCAGCTATTTTGAGCACAATCTAGAGGTGAGTTAAGAGTCTGGCAAGAGTGAGATATAGAGTCCCATGGTCAAGTTTATCTGAGTGGGAAGGGGACTCTGGACTGAGTTTCTCTACTACTATTTTTCTCTTGTCTTTTCAGACATGGAGGCAGCTGTGGCGAGTGTTAGAAATGTCTGACATTGTTTTGCTCATTACTGATATCCGACATCCGGTAAGTATTGGTAGTGAGGATATGCAAGGGGGAAGATGTGGAGTAAATGTCTGAGACTGGAGTTGGGAGATGGAGAGGCATCTTTTTATATTTCTAACTTCTCTATTTTGGGCTGATATCTATGGCAACGGACTAAATTCTTTATTCATTGTTTATAATAGCCTTTCTCTAGCTGTCTCTTTTCCTCTATTTTGCCAAATAACTGCATGTTCTTTTTTCCAACCCCTCCAGAGGTAGGCAAAGACAAAGTTCCAGAGTATATTCTGAAGGAATTCTGTGGTGACATTCTGAGGACTTTCCCTCTTTACCCAAAGCTGCCCTTTCTTCCTTACCTAATAGTTTAGCACCTCAATTACTACAGGACTCATTCTGTTCTCATCTGGAATGCTTGGGTAATGGTTAAGGCAGAAGACCTGGTACTTGGGCTTAGCAGTACAACTCCCTACAGACTACACACCACTAGGGATTTTTAATTTGTGATATATCCACCGATATTTCTTAATAAGCTATATACCTATAATTGAATTCTTTATAATATAAACATATATAGTATAGGAAAACACAGAAAAACATCTATTAATTTGTGTCAACACAGAAAAACATCTATTAATTTGTGTCAACCCTTTCTCCCCTGTTCCTGATCACAGTCTTTATCTAGAATGCTAGAAGTTCCCATTTCCTTGTCTTATTTTGGCTTCTCTCCATCCATAATCTTGTGCTGCAAAAAGCCCCTAGAGACTTGTGCACTTGTATTATTTAGCCCCTGTATTGATTTGTTTGGCCTTGTAGATTTACCTCTTTCACCCCAAAATCTGCCGGTATCAGGGACTTGTCTCTCAGTTGTGCTTGGTTAGCTGGGAGCTAGAGGTTGAGGACTCTTGAGTCTCACTACTCTATCCCTTTTCCAATTCTACCACAGGTTGTGAATTTTCCACCAGCACTTTATGAGTATGTGACTGGAGAACTTGGGCTGGCTCTGGTGCTGGTCCTAAACAAAGTGGACTTGGCCCCGCCAGCTCTCGTGGTTGCCTGGAAGCACTATTTCCACCAACACTACCCCCAGCTTCACATTGTCCTTTTTACCTCTTTCCCTCGAGATCCTCACTCCTCACAGGACCCTAGTAGCGGTAAGTGAATATCAGATGAAATTATATTCTGGGAGAGGTTGGGTGACGGACAACATGGAGTCTTGTTAATAAGGGGGTATCTTATTTTGGGTCCAAGTATGGTGGCAAAGATAAGATAAACCTGTGTACTAACCTTTTGTGTTCTCTGACCTCAGTTTTGAAGAAGAGTCGGAAGCGAGGTAGAGGGTGGACTCGGGCCCTGGGACCAGAGCAGTTACTGAGAGCCTGTGAAGCTATCATTGCAGGGAAAGGTATGTGAACCTCAGAGGGACTCTGTGTGACACCCAAGGCCTGGAGTCATTTAGTCTTCTTGTCCAGGAGTCAGCCCTCTACTAAAGAGATAAGAGAGGCCAGAAAGTGGAATGGAATAGAGATGGGTTGGTAAGCACTTCAGTGGTTTGGTGCCTTTAGTCTTAGTAATTTTAAGAAACTTTTCAGAGAAATGCAAATTGAATGGGTCCATGTAAACAACAAGAGATTCTGTGGTCTGCTCTTGTGCAAGGTGACATTCTTCTAGTTCTAGAGGGTGCCAGTTTCATCAGCTAGCTGTGCAGTATAATCCGTTCCATCATTCAGAGTGGTCCAAAAAAGAACTCCTTTATCATCTTTTTCCCTGAGTAGTAGACTTGAACAGCTGGCGGGAGAAGATTGCTCGAGATGTGGCTGGAGCTACCTGGGGTAATGGCTCTGGGGAAGAGGAGGAGGAGGATGATGGGCCAGCAGTCCTGGTGGAACAGCAGACTGATACAGCGATGGAACCGGCTGGTCCAACCCGGGAGCATTACAAGGATGGAGTGGTGACCATTGGCTGTGTAGGTAAGTAAGTCGCAGCCTGGGCATGGTGGCCTCCTTGGAGGCACAGAATTTCAATATTTGGAGAAGAGGAATGGTGCTCTTTTAAGTGGGGTGACCTCTGCTGTAATCATGGCTAAGATAGAGGAAGCCATAGAGTTAAAAGTACACCTCTTCTCTGCTATATGCCCTTGAGCAAGTTCTTTTTTCCTTTTTTTTTTTTTAAAATTTTATTATTTTGTGTGTGTGTGTACCGTCAGATACGATCCAACTGGTTGGTACCTCCTTCTCCAGCACAGCATCTGGTAGATTCGAACTGCATGCCTCTGGGATTGCAGTGCAGCTTCTTGCCACTAGGTCATCAGTGCTCCCTATGAAAGCAAGTTCTTAACCACTCTGAGTTTTGGTTCCTTTGGTATTAAAAATGAGGATCATTGAAAGAATGTATATGAGGAATAAATGGAATAGTGTTGAGTTCATAGCAATGCCTGACAAATAAAAAATTAAAGTAATAATTATTGTTGGAGCTTAACACTTAAATGGTGTGTACTATATACCAAGCACCATTCTATTGTTACGTTTCACATATTGGTTATCTCAAAACTCATTAGTGTCAAGTTGGAACCGACTCAGAGCTGACTTTCCAGTGGATTTTTGAAGGCTGTAAATTGAATGGGAGGAGATTGCCCATCTTTCTTCTGAAGAGCAACCCATGGTTTTGAACCCCTGGGAGATACTGCCTTTCGTTAAGCAGTGCAACTCTCTATGGACTTTGCCATCATAGCTCCCTTAATTACATATCTACTAATTTTCAGATGTAGCAATAAATCCATTGTAAAGGTCTTTATTTATTTTTTTTGTGTGTGTGTGTGTAAAGGTCTTTAAATTATAATAGGAACTCAGCAATCATTACTACCTTTGGGTCTATACTCTTCGTTAAGGAGAATCTTCTTTTAACTAAGAGCTTTGTGCCTTCAGTGAAGAGGAAGGAGTGTATGAAAACAGCCCAGAGCAGCTTTTCATTTTGAGTAAGAATTCTGTGACATTTGTTGAAAGAGGCCAAGGCAGAGTTACATCTGATGTGATACTGGAACCAAAAAAGGTCCAGCCTATAAGACATTGAGAGAGTGACATAGTTGGCTTCTTAGCAATGCTTTCCACCTTTCTTATCCTTCAGACTTTTTTTAGTCTTAGGAAAAGCCTGTCAGATTGTTAACCAATTATTCCCTTTCCTGTCTCACTGTACCCTGACTTTCTCCCCTCCTTGATTTTTTACTCCAGAGTTTGTTAGAGTAGGGTGGTAGAGGCAGAGGTAGAGCAGGAGGAATTGGGGAAAGAAATAAGGCCAAAAATTAAGTTTGAGATTCTTTTAAAGATACCAAGTGGAGATAGTGAATAGACAATTGGGTATTGGGTTCTGGAGTTCTGGTAAGTTCAGGAGAAGAGGGGATGGTGGAAATGGAGAGAGATTGAAATGTGGAGAGTCATTGGTACATGTAAATGATATTTAATGCCGTGGAATTGGATGAGATGTGGAAGAGGAGTTAGGTGGAAAAGAGAAAGCCAAGGACAGGGCCCAGGCTGGCAAGGAGTTAGAGGCTGAGAAAAGGAGGAGGAAAACCTTGAGAATAACCCCAAGTCAAATGAAAAACGAATGTTTAAAGAGGAAAGGAAGGATCAGCTGGGTCAAATGTTGCTGACAGGTTAAGTAAGATGAAAGCAGAGCCTTGACCAGTGGGTTTAACCTTGTGCAGGTTGGTGGTTTCAGTGCAGTGGTGGAAAGGAAATCCAGATTGCCGTTAGCCGAGAGGATGTGCAACAGTATCGGTGAACCTCACACATTGTGCAAAAGAGGCCAGACATAATGGTGCAGACGTGGGATTGATTCCATACTTCGAAAGCTGTAGTACGAAAAGTCCTTGTAAAAGGATACACAAGTTTAGAATTTTAAAAAAGAGCCAAATATCTTCCATCAGGAAAATAATTAAAATACATATCTGAAGAGAGTTATAATCCAGAAAGATTAAATAGGGCTTCCGGGCAAGTGTGCTATACTGTACCCAGAAGTGGGTTGTATGATGTTTATTAGCTGCATATTGATATTTTATACATTTTTGTGTGTATTACAGTGAAGATGACATGGAAGAAGTTGTGGCAAAAAAGATGTCTTATAAGTAACTTTAGGTGATTGAGAAATGAGGGTGGTGGGTGTGATCAGTCAAGGGTTCTTCACTCCTTTTCTCCTTCTTTCCCTTGTTCCTTCCTCTGAAAAGAAATACTTGAATATGTTGTCAAAGGAAAACAGTTTATGTAGTGGTCCATTTGCCCTGCCCCAGACACATTCAGCTACCTAAAAGCAGATGCTGAATGGGAAGCATTCTGTTTTACAGGATTGAGGTTTGGCCAGGTGAGTGAAATTGGAAGGAAGAAGCAGGACCAGGAAAGGGATTGACTCTAGAGCTAATGGAATCTAATCTTGGTAAGAAAAGAAGTGAGGCCCTGAAGCAGGCTGTTCTAGGGCCAGAGCCAAAGAATTATTAGACCAGAGGAACCAGAATAAGTGGAAAGATGGGATGTAAAGGCAGCACAAGGAGAACTTGAAACAGATTTTTGTGACAAGTCCAGGGTGTGATTATGAGAGTGGATAACTAGTGGGGGTGCATGCACAAAGGAAATGACTTTTGGAAGTGAGACTAAGGCACTGAGAGGCTGATGTGCTGGCAGAGAGTTATGCAGGTGCTGAAGTCAGGCAGGATGATGATGCTGGTAGTCATAAGGAGAGTGTCAGTGAGCCAACAGTTTCCAGTACTGTCCTCAGACAAATTACTAAGAGTTATTATGGTTGCCTGTTTCACATGTCTTGAGCATTCTTACGATATTGCAGGCATTGGCCATAAAATTGTATTTGCTTTCTCAGAGATCATGAGGCTAGTACTTATCAACAAAAACAACTGTAAAGTAGAAGGGAGTATAGTCCATAGGAAGTTGTGCTGCTAACCCAGAGGCCATGGCTTTCTGGCAACTCACATCCACCAGTTAACTGTGAGGGAGAAACACAGGCTGTCTCCCACTGTGTAATCTGCAGCCTCTGGAACCTGCTGGAGTTGGTTCAGCTATGAGTTTGTTCTGACTTGATGGCATTGAGTTTGACTCTGAGGTAGAAGGTATCACTAGTGTAAAACAGGAAACAAAGGCTCAGAAAGTTATATAAATTTCCTTGAGGTCAGAGCTGATAATGAAAAAGCCAGGATTCACCCTTGGCAGTCCAGAGCCTGAGCTATTATTATCATTGCACTGTTCCATGTTGTACTGCTTTTTTTATCCACCCCGGCTTCTTTATTTCTGAATTTTAGTTCCTCTTCTTGTATAGTCAAGGTACTTCCAAATCCTATCTATCACAGAGTGAAGACCTGTGAAATGTTCATTTTTTTTGTATTTGCCTTTTCCAGGTTTCCCCAATGTGGGAAAGTCCTCGCTGATCAACGGGCTGGTAGGACGGAAGGTTGTGAGTGTCTCCAGAACTCCAGGCCACACCCGATACTTTCAGACCTACTTCCTCGCCCCCACTGTGAAGCTCTGTGACTGCCCTGGCCTCATTTTCCCCTCTCTCCTGCCCAGACAGCTTCAGGTACTTGGGCAGAAGTGGAAGAGGGAGGGAGGAAGGGAGAGAAGGGAGGGGAGGAGGGAAAGTTGGATGTTGAGGAAGAGGGCTAAATACTTTTGTTTCTCTCAGGTTCTGGCTGGGATCTACCCCATCGCCCAAATCCAGGAACCGTACACAGCTGTGGGCTATCTGGCCTCCCGGATCCCTGTGCAGGCCCTACTCCACTTGCGTCATCCGGAGGCAGAGGACCCCTCTGTGGAACATGCCTGGTCAGCCTGGGACATCTGTGAAGGTTCGTTCCATGTATCTATCTGACTGACTTCTGCCCTTCCTTAGCTATCATCCTTTTTAGCCACACCATTTACTCTTGTCCTATCTCCTCTTCTCAGAATTTCTGCCATCTCAAAAGCAACTGTCCACTCTGCCCCATAAGAACAATCTCTGGCTGGAACGTTCTCTGGGAAACTAGGACTGTGTTCTGGGAGTGTCGGGCTGGTGACTGGGATCTGGCTAACTGGTTTCTTTCCTGTTTTCTCCTTGCAGCCTGGGCAGAGAAACGTGGTTACAAGACAGCCAAGGCAGCTCGGAATGATGTGTACAGAGCAGCCAGCAGCCTCCTGCGGCTGGCTGTGGATGGCCGCCTCAGCCTGTGTTTTCATCCCCCAGGCTACACTGAACAGAAAGGTCAGAGAGCCAGATGTCCTTCCCCAACCCCCTGCTATCAAGTAGGCAAGAGGGTATAGGCTTTGCAACCAGAAAAAAAGGCCAAACCTGGTCACCTGATGGTCAGCTGTGTGTTATTTCATGTCTCGGAGACAGTCTCCTGGTCTGCAAAATGAAGGTGATAAGTCCTCCTGGCAAAGTTGTAGCAAAGACTGGAGTTAATGTGTGGGAAACTTCTGTACAGTGCCTTGCATACAAAAGGCACTCAAGCTTGATGAATGAATGAGTGAATAAAACGCATGCCTGCAGCTATAAAGAATATTATTCCTAGTCTCTGCTTTTTCTCCTTCTTTGGCTTTATTTTCTTCCTCAAAACTCTCCTCCCTTTTTTTTTCTTTCTTGTTTTGGTTCCCCAGGCACCTGGGAATCCCATCCTGAGACCACAGAGCTGGTGGTTTTGCAGGGCAGGGTGGGGCCGGCAGGTGATGAGGAAGAAGAGGAAGAGGAAGAACTGAGCAGCTCCTGTGAGGAGGAGGGAGAGGAAGACCGGGATGCAGATGAGGAGGGGGAAGGGGATGAGGACACCCCCACCTCAGTTCCAGGGTCCAGCCTGGCTGCCCGAAACCCTTATGCCCTCTTGGGTGAGGACGAATGCTGAGCTCCACCCCTGCACCATCCTCCTCACCTTTGCTTTTGGACTGGCCTGGGAGTATCTCCCCTCTACCGCCCCAATTGTGAATAATAAAGATTGTCTGCTTTGTAGCCCCTTCCCCAGATGGACTGAGGTGAGAGCGGCTGGTTCAGGCTCGAAACTGTGGGAAACTTTTCTCCTGTTCTTTTTGTGCTTTCTATTTGCTAAGGAAACATTTTCTTAGGAACTAATTCACTAGGTTCCAACGCCCTGAAAATAGTTGCTTTTGTCCATTCTTTGCATTGTAGGAATCCCATTGGGGTGGAGGAGCCATTTGGGCTTTGGGAGCTTGGTCTGAATCCAGCACCCCTTAGAGTATGTGGCATACCCCTTCTGATCTGAGTAGGTACCCTGTGCATTCTCTACCACCAAACCTGGGACTGTACTGGAAGAAGCAGCAGTAAAAGGTGTTACAAGCAGATGTCACCAAATGGGATTTTTTTTTTAGGACTTGTTCAAGTTCAGCAAATATTTACTGAGGACCTACAGTGTGTCTGGACCTTTGCTGCACACCGAGCATATCTTTATTGACTGACAGGGCTTGGCCTAAGGTTGCCAACCTGGTCATGATAAAGATCCTACCTTGGCTCCCGAATATTTGGCATTGGCACTCAGGTACTTGCATTTAGAAAGGAGTTATGTTCACATATAAATCTAGAACTTCTAGGTCGATAGAATTTCAAGGTAAGAAGGAATACTTGTGAAAATGTTTATTAAATGTCTAGGTATAAAGTTTTAATTGCTGGCAAGCAACAACCATGCACATTTAGGATATGGCTATCACTTTAACGACAGTGATAAGTTTCATTAAAATCCCAACAGCTAGTGTGTACAGTATGCATAAGGGAGAGCACAGACCTATCCAGTTTCCTGAATCCTCTTATTCTGGTTAGGGATGGAGCACAAGTGGCCCAGCATAAGGTCTGAGCTAGGAGTCATCAAATGACCCTAATATTTTATGATGTCAGCTATGAATATCAGTAGAACTAAGTTCTCTTATGAGGTAGGGTACCTTTGACCTTGTTGGACTCTTGTTTGTTAAATGAGCAGTAGGACCTCCTAGGTTCAGGTTTTGAATTACTGGCAAGTTTCTCTAATGCCAGTAGAGACACCACAGCCAAGAAGCAAAGGAAGCAAAAGTGTATCTAGAAGAGGCTGAGGTGTGTGGGTTACACATTCCCTCAAACTTGTCCCCTCCTTTGGTCCTTGTGAGGACGTAACTCTTGGGATTTGTGCTGAAGGTAGAAGAGTCAGTACCAACCTATGATTGTGCCTTGAAGGTTGAGCAGGCTTGAAAAAGTCTCCACTGAAAGAAAAACTTTGTCCTTCATCTTGGACACATTGACTTGAGAGCTGGGTCTTTTGATGGAGGAAAGGGGGGTCCCAGTCCAGCTTATCTAAAAAGCTCAGGGCTACTTGGTGACTCACTCCTGGAGGTGGGTGGGAGTATTGGGTTCATCTCAGAAGTGAGGAAAACCAAGATTCTGTTTGTGCCCCTTCGCTGTGCTGCTGTTCTTCACGCATTTGTCTTTTGCTATTTCATTAGTTTCACCAGGAACAATTGGGAGAGATGAGGTGGGATGAAGAATTGAGACTTGAGCTGGAGGGGCAGTTGAGGAAGGAAGTGATTTTAATACTGAAAACCTAGAAGGTGGCAACTCATCCTCAAATGATTCCTCCCACAACTCCATCAACAACTTGGGCACTTTGGAAGAGGGTAACATTGGGAAAAGAACTTAAGAGCATCCCAGTTCCAGAGGCTGAGGCTGAAAGAGAATAGAAATAGGGACAAGCCAGTGGCTAAGTATTGCCTCCATGCCTAAACACTTAGGACCCTGGGCTTCTCTCCTGGGTCATTCTTACCATGTGGATACCTGGCTACAGAAATCCGGGACTCTGGCTACTCTCACACCTGGCCAGTCACTTACTGGAAAGAAACCAGTGCTATTTTTATCCAATATGCTGGAACTTCACTCAATATTGATCAGCTTTCTTCCAAACTTCCCTTTTTTCCAGGTTATGTTCTGGGTTCAAGTCCTGATTCTGGAACAAGATAGTTCTGTGCAGTACAGGGTAGATCACTTATGTGAACCTCTGTTGCTTTTTTTAAAAACCTCTTTCTTATGATCAGGTAACAATCATATTTGAGAACAGTTTTTGCCACACATGCTGAGTTCTGGGATAAGAAATAGGATAAGGGTGCATGCATGAATGAGTAATTTAAAAAAATTTAAAAAAAAAAGATCAGACAGAGATCTATGCTCAAGGAGTTTGTGGTTTAGTGGAGCAAATACCAATAATACTGCAATACTTCTATAGGACTATGTAAATAAGGGTTATTTTACATACATCCTCTAGTTTGTTGAATTAAAGTGGTAGTCCTATACATTCCAAGCACTCATTGATCTACTAAACATTTGCTAAACAATTACTATTTACCAGTCACTTCAAGGTGGTAAGCAAGACAAATACCCTTCGTGTGACTAAATTTATTTGGAGAACGAAAAAAAAAATGGGTAATTACAAGTGTGGTATGTGCTATGAGAAGGATGCAGGTAGCTCCATATAGAATAGCCCTGCAGTGCTGATAGGTAGAAGAGGTAGGGGACAGGGTTTATAGTTATGCATAACAAATTACATAAGATTGTAAAAGCATAAGTGAAGAATTGCTATGCAAATACTCAACAGTGGCAGCTAAGCCCACCTTAGTCTGAAGATAGCAAGAGTTAGCCAGATGGAAGAGCAACCAAAAAAGTTCAGGGAACAAGCACATGATGGCTTTGGAAGGCTGTACCATGTTGAGCATGGCTGGGCAAAAGGATGCAAGGAGGAAGCAGTCAAAGGAGAAATTGAAGTCGTATGTTTGGCCCCACTGCTAGACCCTGTCAGCCACATTACAGAGGTGGGAGGCTTTATGCAGAGGAATGGTGAAGCACTTTAAGCCTAAAATTGAGCATGACATTTGTGTCTCTGAAAGCTCACTGTTTATAGTGAAAAGTGGCCTGGAAAAAGGATAGATTGGAGGGGGTTGCAGCAATCTCAGTGGGAGAGAATGCAAAGCATAATTAGCATGGCAGTTGATAAAGAGTTTTAAGGGGTTCTTTGGAGGTTGAATTAAGAGGATCATTTTGTTTTGAGTGGAAGAGAAGTGAATTAGAGTGCACCCAGACATAAGGGTCATGTGGCTATTTTATCGAGATGAAGTTTATGCAAATGCAGCTTAAATAAGAGTGGTGATGGCTGTGGATAGAAACTTGAACATCATTCATGTATGGGTAAGAAAGGAGAGGAATGGATTATTTACAGAGAAAGTGGAGAACATAAGAGGACGGCAGCAAAAGAAGAGCTAGAAACAATTAAAAGCCTGCAAATTGTGTGATGAAAGCCACAAAAGAAGGAAGTGCTGCTTCTTCACCATGGAGTGCTGCTGAGGGCCATAGGAAGAAGGGAAAGGGCTCCCTGAGTGGCAAGGATCCTGGTAACCTGGGAGCAGTTCTGTTAGATGGGTAAACTCAGAAACCACTTACTTGGTAGTGGGTTGAGAAAGTGGAGGTGGTAGAAGTAAAGATTAAATGTTCATGAAGTTTAGCTGTGATGGCATGGGAAAGAAATGGAGCAGAGTATGAGACTTGAGAGGCCTTTTGAACTTTGAAAGGATATGAGTATTTAAAAATGAAAATACAGTAGAAAGGGATGGAACACGCTCTGAAGGGCAGGTAGAGCATGGATGACCTCAGGCAGGAGCTAGTGGTTTCTGTCATAAAAGGAAGAAACAGTGTAGACACTGAGTCAGTTTGCAGTGAGATGCCTCAACCAGGTAAAAATCTTCTGTTAGAGTTATTAAGTGTCACTGATTAAACTGTGCCCCATCAAAATCCATGTTGATTTGATTAGGTCACGAGTCTCAGTATAATGTAATTATCTTATGTGTTGCAAATCCTAATCTCTAATGATGTTAATGAGGAAGTTAGGGAAAGATGTTATTCCTCAGGGTATGATTTGAGATGTTATCAGTCAATCAATTGTAAGGGGATTACGGTTGGTTTGTTGTTATGTGCCATCCAGTCGTTTGTGACTCAGTTACCCTATGTACAACATCCCTAAACCCTGCTCTATCCTGTGCCCATCGCATTACCTCTGACACACCCATCCCGATTACCCCAGTCATTGAATCAATCCACCTCATAGAGGGTCTTCCCTTCCTGCACTGTCCCTCTACCCTACCAAGCATGATGTTCCTCTCCAAGGACCTGTCTGTCCTTACAACATGTCCAAAGTATGTCAGATGAAGCCCCAGAATCCTTGCCTCCAAGGAGTAGCCTGGTTTAACCCTCTCCAGGATGAATCTGTTTGTTTTCTTGGCAGTCCATGGAACATTAAGTACTCTTCTCCAGCACCACAGCTCAAAGGCATCAATTCTTCTATCCTCCCTAGCCATTGTCCAACTCTCTGATGCATAACAAGTGATTGCAAAGACCATGGCCTGTATCAGGCGTACCTTAGTCTCCAGAGAGACACTGTTGTTCTTGAGTACTTTAGAAAGGTCCCTAACAGCAGAGTTTCCCATCGCAATAAGTTTTTTGATTTCCTGGCTGCTGGTGCCAAGAGTGTTGACCGTGGAGCCGAGCAAACTGAAGCTGTGAACAATCTCAATCTCTTCGCCATCCATCCTGCTACCAATTGGTCCAGTGGTGAGAATTTTTGTCTTCTTGACATTGAGCCTCAGTCCATACTGAAGGCTGCAGTCCTTGACCCTCTGCAGCAAGTGCATGAGGTCTTCCTCAGTTTCAGCAAGCAGGGTTGTGTCATCTGCATAATGCAAATTGTTAATAGATCTTCCACCAATCCTGACGCCACACTTCTCCTCATAGAGCCCAGCCTCTCAGATATCCAGAAGAATGTCTATCTGTGTTTCATTGATTATACAAAGGCGTTTAACTGTGTCGATCATAACAAATTGTGGTTGACTCTGAGAAGAATGGGAATCCCAGAACATTTAATTGTGCTAATGTGAAACCTATACTTGGACCAAGAGGCAGTCGTCAGAACAGAGCAGGGTAACACTGCATG